TGGATGGATGGATGATGGATGGATGATGGATGGATGGATGGATGGATGGATGGATGATGGATGGATGATGGATGGTTGGATGATGAATGGATGATGGATGGTGGATAGATGGATAGATGGTGGATGGAAGGATGGATGGATGATCGATGGATGATGGTAAAAACATTTAGGAACATTTTTTTCAGATTTAGGAATTTTAAAACTTTTTTTCTGTTGGAAAAATAACTTTGATTTTTTTTCTAATCCAACCGGCTGTCAGATTATTTGACCATTTAGATGTACAGATGTAAGTGTATTATAATTATAAATATAGTTATTTGATGGTCTCTCTTTTTAATTTGCTGGATTATAATCCATCCATGTTCTGCCAGCTCACTGGTTATCTGCTAAAATGTTGTGTTGAATTGAATCACATTTCAACAAAATGCCAGTCGCTGTGATTGGTCCGTCAGACCTTAGCTGAGCCAATCAGAGCGCTGGGTTTATTTTGAAGGCGGATCTCCTCTGCCGCTGTGCTGAAGGTCAAACCGATTTAGTCTGAACCAGATTTTTCTGCTTCTCTCCATGAATTGATAACCGAGAATTAGCAGGAAGTGCCGATCAGTTGCAGGTAAACATTACGTCACAGTTCAAAGGTCACCGCAGGTACAATGAGTCAGCGCTCCACAGAGCAAAGGTTAAGCTATTGTTTCGAATTATTTTATTTGTAGTTTGAATTTTTCTCCCTTTATTAGCTTCAAAAAATCTAAAGCGATTGAAAATAGATTCTAAACAGCATAAAATGTGTTTTTTTTTTCTTTTAGTTTAATTTACTCCCATTTTAGAAAAAATTGATCAATGAGAACAGAGAGGAAGTTAGTCTGAATATCTGGATGTCCTGGTTCTAGTTTCAGAGAGCAGGACAGACTGGGACCCGACAGACTGGGACAGAGTGGAACTGACTGGGACTGACTGGGACAGACTGGGACCCAACAGACTGGGACAGACTGGGACTGGGACCCAACAGACTGGGACTGGGACAGACTGGGACCCAACGGACTGGGACAGACTGGAACTGGGACAGACTGGGACTGACTGGGACCCGACAGACTGGAACAGACTGGGACCCGATAGACTGGGACTGACTGTGACTGGGACAGACTGGGACTGGGACTGGGACCCGATAGACTGGGACTGTGTTGGGGGGGGTCTGCTGGGTTGTCCTCCACCATGATGTTGTTTCCTTTGTGTCCTTTGAAATAAACTCAAAGCATTTTCTAATGAAGTTCATTGATTGATCCAGTGGAGCAGGAAGCTCCTCCCCCTGACGCTGTGACGGCAGGTTCTGCCGGAAGGGACGCCACTTGGCTCCGCCCAGACCCCTCTGAGGACCACATAAATGGAGGTTCTGTTTTCCCTGCAGCACCCAGATGGAGAAGGAGGTCCAGAGGGAATTTATCTACTGCAGCGGAGCCGCCACGGAGGTTCTGAAGGTCGGCTCCTCTCACCTCTCAGGCCGAGACGTGCTCTTCCTCATCATCCCAGGTGAGTCTTCATTCAGAGACCCGGGGTTGCCTTCCTACTCTGGGGTTCCGGGGATCATTGGAGGACCTAAACCTGGAGGACATGAAGGGGTCTCTGTTGTCCTCAGGTAACCCCGGGATGGTGGAGTTCTACCGGAGCTTCATGCAGACGCTGCACAGCCTGCTGGGACTTCCCGTTTGGGCCGTGAGCCACGCCGGCCACTGTGCTCCGCCGGACTCCATGGACATCGTAGAAGGTAGGACAAGCTTTTCTTTCAGACTTTCTTCCCAGCTCAGACCTGAGAACCAGGTGGTCTCTCCTTGTGGTTCAGACGCCTCGGCGGCAGCGAAGCGCGACGTGTTCGGTCTGGATGGACAGGTCCAACACAAGCTGGCCTTCCTCCACCAACACGTTCCCAGAGGAACTGCCTTGGTTCTTGTTGGACACTCCATCGGCTGCTACATGATCCTGGAGATGATGAGGAGGGACCCGGAGCTGAAGGTACCCTCCATGACCCAGACCCAGACCTGGACTCGGGTCTAGACAGCTGTTCCTTCCAGGTTCTGCCCTGAAGGCATCTGCTCTGTCCTGGCTGCAGGTTCTGAAGGCCGTGCTGCTGTTCCCCACCATTGAGCGGATGGCCCAGAGCCCCCAGGGGAAGGTCATGACCCCCCTGATGTGTCAGCTGCGCTACCTGCTCTACCTGCCGCTCTTCCTGCTGTCTCTGCTGCCGCATGGCGTCATGGCGCGGCTCGTCAGGCTGATGTTCAGCAGCATCCCCGATCTGGACCCGTGTGTGCTCCAGCCTTCGGTGGAGATGCTGGGTTCAGGAGACTGTCCAGGTAACACATTATTGTCAGACTGACTCAGTTTTACTTTGTTTTCATCCAGAAACCTGAGCTGTTTTGATGAGCTCTGATAGCTCAGAGAGAAAAGCAGCTGATCGCAGACTGTTCTCTGCATCCAGACTGTTCTCTACAGACTGTTCTCTGCATCCAGTCTGTTCTCTACATAGAAAAACTATTTGGTTTTATTTAATTGGCTCCTCAGAAAGCAGAAAAGATTCCAGTTCTATTTTATTTTATTGCCTAATGAATGAAATATTTTCATGCACCCTCTGCAATGCCCTCGCTGACCACTAGGGGTTTGGAATCAGCGATCTAAGGGCGGGACGATCCAGTGGCTCTACCCACTAGGGGTTTGGGACGACACTTAATGGGGCGGAGCCGCAAACAGAGGCCTTAGGGGCCTGTTAGTGATTCAGCCGAGGATGATGAAGAGCGTCTTCATCATGGGGTCAGAGGTCAGGGTTATGAAGATTAAAGGATCACCTAGAAGTTCAAATAGCTTTAATTTCATTTTTTACAGCAAAGAATCCAATCACTTTATGAAATAAATCAGCCAATCAGAATCCAGCTGCAGTGAGGAACCGGATCAGAACCGGCATCCTACAGAAACACGGAACCATAGAGACACGGTTGATCAGGTGGTGGAACCTGCGGTTCTGGAACAGATTCTGCTGTAGAAGGTTTAGTGGTTTTGCCTGAATTTTTGTGGTTCTGTTGGTGGAACCAGACCCGTCTTCATGGTCGGGTTCTTCTGATCTTCCAGAACCTCCTGTGATGTTCTGCTTTCTGTTTCCTGCTGCAGTGAACGCTTTGTACCTAGGAGGTCAGGAAATGAGGATGGTTCTGGAGAGAGACAACGTGACGATCCAGAAGAACCTGGACAAGGTGAGAGAGCATCTGTCCTCCTTTTTGGACCCAGAGGACGGGTTCCGTTCTGGAGACTCAAACACTTCCTGTTCCTCAGCTCCTGTTTTACTACGGAGTGTCGGACCACTGGTGCCCCGTCACCTACTTCCAGGACATCAGGAGGGATTTCCCACATGGAGACTTCCGGCTGTGTGAGAAAGGAATCCGGCACGCCTTTGTTCTGGACGCAGGTCGGGACGTGGCTCAGATGGTGGCAGAGTGGACCCGTGGATCTCTGAGGGGATGAGGGTCAGGATTACAACCTGCCAGACAAAACCCAGGGGGAAATACCCAGGTTCTACCCAGGACGGCAGACCGGTCCGGTCCGGTTCCGGTGATCGGAACATTTCCCTGCTTTTAGTTCTGTTGGTCTTTAACAAACCTACGGAAGCCCAGCAGGGACACTAATGAGGAGCAATTATCAAATCATTGTGATTATTGAATGTTTAGATCATTTATTCCTTATTTTAATATAATTGATTATAAAAAGAGGAAAATAAAACACGTCTGAATATTTATTAAAAAACGGGTCGTTTACATCCAACATGGCTGCCTGAGAGGAAGAGCCTCATCTGACCAGAACCCAGCAGGGACTGATCCTCCTGGTTCCTCCTGGTTCCTCCTCATCCTAGAAGGTGTGTGTGTGATCCTAGGAGGATGAACCCCCCAGAGGGAAACTGGAAGTCATTTTGAACCAGTCTAAACCTTCCAGTGGTCCCACTTTCATGTGTTTGCAATGGTTCCTGTAGATCTTTCAGGTCAAACAGAACCTCAAGGTCCAGTTTCTACAGAATCTCATCAGTGAGAATCATAGAAAACCTGAAAACTGTCAGTTAAATGTTTCACTTCCTGTCATCCATCCAAGGTTCCTGTGACCTTTGGATGGATCCCTACTGGTTCTGTAGGGATCCTACATCAAAGCCAGGATCCCAACAGAATCAGAACACGGAATGGTCCAAAGTGTCATTGTTACCTTGCAGCATTTCAGCGCTGCTGCCTCTGTGTTTTCTAAAGGATTACAAATCGTCCACAGCACCCCCTGCTGGTCTGCCTGACCAGCAGGGGTCTGCTGCGTCATCTAGCAGTCAGGGAGATCCAGAAACAGAATCTCCAGAACCTGCTGGGACCCAAGAAAAAACGAGACCCGGATCCTTGTCTCTGAAACACTCGGACCAAATCTGTGTAACAGAAACTTCAGTTATTGGTCTGATGTCTGGTTCTGACCCAACAGCTGCTACCTTCAACAGAGAAACACTGAATGAAGTAAACAGAACCTTCCAGCTTTCAGAACCAGCCAGCCTGAATCTCACAAAGTCAAATATAGATGATTACAAAATAAAGATTATTAGGAAGAGTTCTGACCCGTCTGCCAGGGTTCCAGACCCTCTGACCAGAAACCTGGGTCTCTTTGGTTCTGAACATCTCCTCTAGAGTATCTTCAGTTTCAACTGCATCCAGAAGTTAAACTGCATCAACACCATCTTGATGCAGCTACCAGGCAGTACCCTGGTTCTGATTCTGGATGGGTTAAAGGTTGATCAGAGTCTCCTCCTCTTCTGGCTCGGTTGGCCCGCTGGCCGTCTGTTCCGTCAGTAGAGGAAGAGGCGGTTCTGTTGGACACACGGGGACCTGTGGCATGGCGGGTCGGTCGATGGGATGGAAGAGGAAGCAGTAGGCTCCTGGCTGGCAGCTGTTCTTTACACTCAGAGCCAGGTCCGACGGAACCACCGGCTGCAGAACCCCGTCCATGTAGACGCTCAGCGTGTAGGAGTCTGAACAACAGAGACACATTTGGATCAGAACCACAGCCGCTCAGTGACCCCACACTGTAGAACTTTAACACAGAACCTCCCCCATAGAACCTCCAGTTCCTTTCCAGAGGAACACCCATCAAACAGCCCACCACGGGGTTGCACCATTAGATTCCAGCTCAGCTTGTTCTGCATAGAAACCCTCCCAGAAACAGGAAGTGATGTCAGAGCCGGTACCTTGTTCAAAGCGTGCGGCGCACTGCTCGGTCAGCTCCTTGATGGTCATGGAGGGGATGATACCCAGAGTTTTGGGGTCAGCACCAATCTCAGGACAGTACACGGTGAGGAAGTCCTGCAGAAGCAACAAACCGTGGATCCATTAGGTTCTGAGTAGCAGAACTCTGAGTCCGTGAAGATCTGGTTCTGTGTGTTTGTACCCGAACGGAACCCTGGCCCACTCGCTCCTGGTTGAGCGTCCGCCGTCTCTCCCAGCGGTGGATGGAGTCCTGAACCTCTCTGCTCAGCTGCCGCGTCGCTGACCTCTGCTGGTCAAACGTCTTGATGTGCTCCAGCGCCCCATAGGTGGTGGTCAGATAGTAGGAACCTGAACCCAGAGAGGGGAGAGGTGCGTTCAGGGACAAAGCCTCAACATCGCATAATATTAACCCTCCTTTAATGGGGGGGACCCCTACAGGCACGTTCTCACCCTCTCCCAGTGTTAAGGCGGGGTCCATCAACTCCATCATGTACTCCACGTCCAGCTGCAAGGCGGCCAGGTTGGATCTGGCCAGGACGTACATCATTACAGGAAGGAAGTCATCGGCGCCGTGAGCCCGCCCTGTTCAGAGACCACCCGTTAGATCAGAGCTGTCCAGCGGCGGCCCTCCATGGCCCACATCCTGCAGGTTTCTTCTCAGGCAGGTCAACAGACCCGCTGAAGACCCATGAGAACAATCTCTATTTATTCACTGGATTGCTGATTGCCTGTTGGTAGTATGGGGTGGAGGGAAGCCACCGGCCGCCATATTGATACTCCCTAGTTAGACCGGTCGCAATGTAAACAATCTGCGCTAAAGCATCAGACAACAATGATGTTCTAATTTTCAGGGGGACTTTTGAAATAAAGATAAATTCATCACTTTGACGCAGACTGGCTGTTTCATAGCATCAGTAGATTAACTTTAACTTAAAATAATAAAAAAATAGACCCATCACATTGAATAGTCATTATGAAACCAATGAAGTCTATAAATCATGTAATATAACATATTATACAAAATCCATCACAATAAAATCAATGTGTTAATGGAGCAGATGATCCAAAAGTGCTAAACGTTAGACCCAATGTCAATGGCTAACTCAGTCAATGTCTTCCCGTCAGTCTGAGATAGCCAGACTAATGTTAGTCTGCAGACTAAACTATAGGATCCATCGGCTATAGATGGATTTATTGCTTAGTTCATCCACTGACTGAGAAATTACCTGAGGAACTTCTTTCTGTAGCCAGAAAACTGCTGGTTTCTGCAGCCAAATGCTACACAGGGAGGCTGGGCTCAGTCAGCCTAAACTTCTGACATTTTGAATTGAAAAAGCTTCCTGGATGGAGAACAAACTTGGAAACAAAGTCCAGTGGATTGTTTTTAACTTAAATCTGGGAGGAACTACACAAGTAGGCATTTTTATGGCGCGTTCCCGTGGGAGTACCAATATGGCGGTCGGTGGCTTCACTTTTTTTTTTGGGCTGTCGGCAATCCAGTGAATAAATTAGAGATTAGTGTCGAGAACATGCAGAACGTTGGGCTGCGAGGCCTGAGGCTGGACTGGTTTCTAGCAGCGCTTCAGAGAGAAAGTGGCACGGACCTGGACAGCTGATGGACATGGAGTCATAGATGATCTTACAGGTCTTCAGCAGCAGCTCAATCTTCCTCTGTGGAGAATATTCCTGATGGAGTTTGTTCAGCTTCATGCTGATTTTCTCCATGGCAGGAGCCTCAGGGATGGAGGTGGTTATCCCTAAAGCTGTGGTGGTGCTGCCCAGGACCTCCGCCTGCAGTTCAGTTCAATTCAATACAATTCAGTTCACTTCAATTCTATTCAGTTTATTTCTATAGCTCCAATTCACATCATGTAATTTCAGGTCACTTTCCAGTTCACCAGATCATCCTGTCAGATTGATTCAAAGTTTTCTATCTAAGAATAACCAGCTGATTGCATCGACTCATTGACTGAATCTGACTTTTATTTTGGACTCTACATTGGACTCTGAATCGGACTCTGAATCGGACTCTGAATCGGACTCTGAATCGGACTCTGAATCAGACTCTGAATCGGACTCTGAATCGGTCTGAATCGGACTCTGAATTAGACCCTGAATCGGACTCTGAATCTGACTCTAAATCTGACTGAATTGGACTCTGAATCGGACTCTGAATCGGACTCTGAATCTGACTGAATCAGGCTCTGAATCAGACTAAATCGGATTCTGAATCGGACTCTGAATCTGTTTTTTTTCTGTGATGATGAAGCAGTGAGCAGGTCCTGCTGGTTCTGTCTGTGGGGTTTTGGACCCACCTGGTTCTGTTCCAGCCGTTTCATGGTTCCAGCATCTGAGTGCAGCTTCTCTAGGCTCTTGTAGACGGGTTCTTTCAGCGGCTTCAGAACGCTCTTACACAGAGCGGCTTCCACGATGCTCTCTGCAGAAACAGACACCGTTTATTTAGCTTCATTCATCTGTTCCTGTTTCAGCTGCTGACAGATCCCAACATCTTTATTTACAACGTTTAATAAAGTGCTTCCAATTAAGATGTCCGATTTTATCTGCATTTTAAAATAAGACCCAGGCTGAAGGCGTGGATGACATCAGATGACATCAGATCAGCTGTGTGGCATCATGGGACACATCTCCATCCTCAGCCTGAAGCTGGAGAAGATAGCGCAGCTGTTAGGACCTCCTGTGTGGCACCGGTTCCCCCTTTGGTGAGGTCTTCATTGGATCCACCGGGACGTCGGCATGGATACTCGCTGCTGGTGATGACCTCACTGACAGCGGGGAACATCCAGGGAACTGATCCACAGGCAGATTCCACCTCCTGAGGACACAGATGATGAAGCTGCAGAGCTTCTTCAGTAAAGGCGGTTAGGGCCACAAAGGAGCAGAACCTCAGATCCTTCCTTCCAGCTGCTGTTAGACTTCTGCACCCAGTAGACCCAGTAAAGCTTCCATACTGGGATCCTGTCCTTTTCTTCAGCAGAACATCATCCAGATGGATCACCCTACTCTGAGATCAGCATCAGCATCTTCTCCACTCAGTGAAGTCCTTGTTTCTGTCTGTGGGATGATCTCTGGTGTCCATCTGGTCCTGAACTTCCACTGCAGACGGACTCTTGAGGATGTCTCCTTCATTCACTTCTCACCTCGGAGGCCTTTGGCGTAGTTAAGCATTCAGCCACCCGCAAACCCACCCCCCACCCCCCAGCAGGTGGTGCAGCTCTACGTTACCCAGCTTGTCCTGCGTGTACTGATGCTGAGGCTCCAGCAGGGCCTGCAGCTCCGTGCTCTGAAGCAGGTAGCTCTTCAGCTGGGTCATCATCAGACGGATCTCCTGCAGCAGCTCCGTGGAGGTGGAGTGTTTGGACATGGTCTCCAAGGTGAAAGCTCTGTGGTCCTTCACCTGGACACAAAACAGGGATGTTGCAGGTCTGCTGGTCTCATGAGGAAGCAGCCCCATCCTCTCACTGTACTCACCAGGTTCCCAAAGTAGCTCAGCGGGTCCCTGGCCAGCTCCACGATGCGCTTGGTGAGGCGGCCATCATGGAAGATGATTCCGGTGAGGACCGTGGAGAGGCGGTGGCGTGCCCGGTCCAACATCACGGTGGGGGTTCTTCTTACGGCGGTCTTACAGCTGTGGCTGTCTGCTGGAGTCCTGATAGAAAACAGCAGAACTTTAGGTTTCCTCCTCATTCATGAACGCTGTGACGTTTCTACAAGCTCTCCTCGCAAAGCATGATGGGATTTGCTGTCCCAGCGGCCCGCTGTCGCCATAGGCTGCCGCTACCAGACAGCAGCGTCCCAGTTAGAGTCCCACTGTGGTGGCTGACCCATATAATGATAGAAGTCTACGTTCAGACTGTCTACGTTCAGACTGACTATGTTGAATCAGAACAGTGAGAATTCGAAAGGATCCAGGATGTGAGCCGATCTTTGCTCCCTCTGCCAACTTTTACGGCAATAAACGAGCATTCAAGGCCTGCATGTGTTGAAACGTGCAGACCTGTCAGCGTGTGCAAAGCTGATCCTCAGCTCAGGTGCAGGTTGAACTGCACAGATTAAGCAGAACGGCAGCTGCAGTCATTATTGTGGGTTCTTGAATAAGCAGATCCCCTTCAAATCAGCAGACTGTATAGAATCATGGGTGGAAGAAATGCAAACAAACAGCAACCGAAAGCAAAGCGATTTGTGAAACCTAATACCGAGACCATGCTCTGTTCATGTGTCTATTTCCAGCAGGCAGGTGCAAACCCACACAAAAACTTCTGCACCACAAATGAGGTTCTGCTTGAGCTGCAGACCGTGGAGAGTCTGTGATCGTATTTGGACTGTCAGAAATAACAGCAGTAGAATAATATGTGGGGAAAGGCGTCTTTCAGTATGGATCAATGCAGCAGGAAGCACTTCTATAAGCTGCTAAACAATAAAACTACCATGACTAAGGTCACATATAGCACATTTATACATAGTTCCCACACGCCTCCAACTGAATCGTTTTATCACATCTTGGTAGTTATGGGCAACAGCAGCAGCCAGGACCATCATGGCTGCAGGTGTGATGTTCATAAGATCTCAGGTTGGACCCGTATGAGACTGCTCTGATTTCCAACCATCACTCAGTTTATCACTCAGTGAAGAATGTCTGCAGCTTAGATGATGTTTCTGATCGGTGTTTAACAGCCTAATGAGGCCCCTGTCTCACCTGGACGATTTCTCCAGCGTCTGCCGATGTCCCAGAATCTCCTAAAACGCTGGCATATGCTCAACTTTCTATGGATTTTTTCTATTCTGGGCGTAAACGGAGTATTCATAATGAGTCCAGAACTTCTGTCCAACCACAGCCTAACTTCTGCATATAACACACGGCAGCGTAGTGACCTGAGGGGGGCAGCGATGAGCCTGGAGGCGCTTGGCCTGCAGAAAAAAATTTATTTGATCGCGGTATTAACCATGCTGCTGTTTACCAACCGCCAAAAAAAAAAGAATAAAGAAATAACGAAAGCAGGTTTCTGTTGGCAGTAGATTGAACGTCATGTCTGCTAGGAAGTTTGTTGGTGGTGGGCGTGAACACAGGGAGGATCCATCACTCTCACCTTCTGGCTCACCCTTTGATGGGGATGAAGTCTGGAGGAGAACTGACGGTTTCCTCCTGTGAACCCCCTTTATGCCAACACGCCGCCAATACGCCATTATACAGCAGCTGGAAGTTAGAAACACGTTCAGCGCTCATCTAGAACACGTCAGATATCTTGATATGCGTTGGAGAGAAGTTCTGGATAAGTTACGCAGAAGTTATGCACAAGTTACTCAGAGGTTTAGGATAAGCTAGACGCCACGACTGATGAGGAACTGGATGTATGTCAACCATCAGATAACTGACCTGGAACTGATGGCCAGTGGATGGCAGACTTATACAAACCGTAGCCATAACCTATCCAATGTATGCCAGCGTTCTTGCCAGATGTTTCGTACATCAGACATACGCTGGTCTAAATCGTAAAGGTGTGACAGGAGCTTTAAGCAAGATGAGAAGGTTCTGGTCTCTGGCAGAGTGAGATCTGGATCAGTAAGGTGACATTAAACCCTTCGATGCACCTGCTGCTCAGTATAAACCGCAGCGCTGCCACCTCCTCAGCAAGAAAAGTCACTATTGGCTGTCCTACAAGGAGATAGATAACATCATTGCCTACTTTGCATACCTCATGTGATCGAGCTGCAGGATATTCTAATCCCTTCAGAGAGATAGGATACCAGGGAAGAAGAAGCAAGGAGATTCCGCGTTCAGTTAGCATAGCGCTGCTGTCTGCAGAAGCGGGTTAGAACGCCAGCAGCCATGCTGATGGCACATGGCGTCTGGCAGCTAAAGGGGCGGGGTCTAACAGGTTTAGGCACCTCCCATCCTACCTGTGGTTCGGTTCTTGCTCCAGGTTTGGTTCTACCTCTTCCTCAGTGCTGCTGGTGGAACAGGAATCAAGGTCGGCCCCCAGAGCGGCGCCCCCTTGTGGTGAATAGAGGGACACATCTGGACGCCGAGCCGGGGAGGGAGGGGGGATTTTCGGTGGTCCACTCTGATTGGTTGGTCCTCCAGGTGGGATTGTGACGGATGGTTTAGTCCTGGGAGGCGGGACGGGACGGGAGGGTCTTTTTTGGGATGGTTTGTCCTCCTTCAGCATTTTCCCCTCCTCTTCCTCCTCCTTCTCTTTGCTCCTCATCCTCTGGTCTTCATGGCGACTGGCCTCCTGTTCAGCCTCCTCACCCAGCAGACCTGCTACTCCTCCTGTCATCTCTTTCCTCTTCTCTCCTTCTCTCTCAGGGGCTTTTGCAGCATCTTGTCCGTCTTCTTTGCGTAGCGAGGCACGCTGCAGAGGAGGAGGAGGTGGTGGAGGAGGAGCCCCTTTGGCCTGCTGGGGGACAGAAGGCCGCCGCAGAGGAGGGGATGTTGCCTTCCTCTCCTCTTTCAGGCTTACTGCTCTCCTTCCTCCTTCTTTCCTCTCAGACTCTGGATAAGTAGAAGCAGCAGTCTGAGCTGAGGAGGGAGAGGAGAACAGGAGGCCGGTCCCAGAACCAGAACCCAGGCTGGGAGGCCGGGGAGGGGGCCGTTTGGGGACCTTGATCTGTGCTTTTTTTGAGCTTTCCCCATTCTGCATGGGGGACATGATGTCTTCACTGAAGACGGACTCTTGCTTGGAAGCAGACAGAAGTTTTCTTTCAGGACCAGGCTGCTCCTTCACTGGGACTGGGTTCACATACAGGTAGATGTTGGGCTCAGGATTCTGGTTCTGGTTCTGCTGGTCAGCCGTCCAGAAATCTGTAGCACAGAGGTTCAGTAAAGATTTACAGCCTCAGAGGAACGTTACTATAATAGACGCTTTATCTACCTGCGCCCAGAGCAGAGACGACTTGTAGGTCCTCTTCACTGGTTGTCATGGTAACAGATGGGGGTAACTTCAACGGCATGGCAAGAATGTCTCTGATTGGAGGATAAAAATCAGAACTGAGGGTTCACCTATTTCTAGAGCTTCAGTTCACCTTAGGTCACTTTAAACAGATTATCCGGTCAGATTAAAAGCTAAGGTTACATTTTTACAGGAAATTACAGATTTTATACAACTTTGAATACAAAAGCTAGCAAATTAGCAGAAAAATGTGGCCTTTAGCTAAAGGATTAAATAAATAAAACTAAAAATGAAATATTCCAACAGTCAATTTAACTCATGATAAACATGATATAAATGCAGAACAATTATATAAAGAAAATCTGCTTGGTCTGCCTTTGATCACTGACTATCTTTAAGCTTTCGTACACATTGTCTTCTGCTTTTTCCTGAAACACATAGCGGAGGCAGCTGTCTCAGCAGGGGCTCCCAGACTTCCCTCTCCTCGGACAGTCTATGCCAGCAGGGAGACATAGTCCCTCTATGGTGTCCTGGGTTGTCCCCTGGACCTCGTCCCACTGGGATGTGCCTGGAACACCTCAGAGGGAGGTGTCCAGTATTGGTAACCGAGGCCAAGACCTTACATGTCCGTGTTGTCTTAGTCTCAAACTCTAAATGTCTTTGCCTTGTCTTGAACTCGATACTCTTCGGTCTGGGTTGGTGTGGTTTTTACTACAACATTGGCGTCCAGTAGGCATCTGATAAAGATGCCTGATCCTCCTCAGCTGACTCCTTTTAAGGAGAAGCAGCTCTACTCTGAGCCTCTCCCTGATGACCCAGCTCCTCACCCTCTCTCTGCGGGGAGAGCCTAGTCTCCCTGCAGAGGAAGCTTGGATCCAGGATCTGGTTCTTTGGATCCTGATCCAGTTAATGACCGTAGGTGAGGGACGGAACGTAGAGATACAGCTGAATCAGAACTTTACCTTTTCTCTCAGCTCTCTGAACCACAGCAGACGGAGCAGCGTCTGGATTATAGTGGCAGCACCGATTCGTCTATCAATCCCCCTCACTGATGAACAGGACATCAGGATACTTGAACCCCTCAACTTTAGGCAGGAATTCTCTTAAAACTGAAGTGGCCAAGCCACCGTCTTCTGGTCCAGACCCTCACCCTGGACTTGGAGGATCTGATTCTCCCTTTCATTGTTCAACATAAAACCAGGCTGAATATTTAACTTGTTTGCCCCCAATGTATGCTATAGATGTCCAAAGAAGGGAACAAGCAGAACAACATCATCAGCCCTTGGCTGGACCTAGAAATCCTGTTCATAAAGATTTCTAAAAGGAGTGCTGAGAGAGAGCAGCCCTGCTGAAGACCAATATGCACTGGGAACAGGTCAGACTTAAGGCTGAACTGCGGAATAAAATACTGGTCTGGTGTTACAGAAATTATGTGGCCCCTGGTAAAGGGCCCCCAGTTCTATATTCCTGGGGCACCTCCACAGGGCACCACAAAGGATGTTGCTGAACCCCTTCTCTGGGTCCATAATACACATGTGGATTTGTTGGACAAACTCCCATGAAACCTTGAGCACCCGGCAGAGTTTAGAGCCAGTCCAGTGTTCCAGAGCCCAGATGAAAATCACGCTGCTACTCCTGGAGCAGAGGTTGCACAGTCAGCCTAACTCTCCTCTCCAGCACCCTGACATCATCCTGAGAAGTGTGATCATCCAGTAGTTGGAGCAAACCCTCCTGTCTCCTTTATTAAAGAAGAGAACCACCACCCCAGTCTGCCAGTCCTGGGGCACTGTCCCCAACCTCCATCCAATGTTTAAGATGCATGTAAACCATGATAGCCTGACAGCATCCAGAGACCTGAGGTGCTCGGGGCAGATGTTATCTAGAATTGCTTTCAGTGAAATGATAAACTTTCTCCATGGCCTATTATTTGGTCTAGTCTAGTTTAGTATTTGCATCCTTGACCACCCGGGCAGCGGCATGCTTAGCCTTGGGATACCTACTTGCTTCTGAAAGAGTCCCACAAGCCGGCCCTGGTGGGACTCCTTCTTCAGCTTTACAGCCTCCCTTACTGCGGGTGTCCACCACTGGGATGTGGTGTTGCCACTGCAATATTGTCCATCTGAGTGTCTAAGACATGTGGCTAAAGATCAGAAGATACAACTACAAAGTCATTCATCAACCTCTGACCTACTTGGGCCCAGTGATGGACATCTTTATGCTTGAACAAGATGTACCTTATGGATAATCCAGGACTTGGACGGAAGTCCATTAATGAAACACCGCTCAGATTCAGAGCTGGGGTCTGGTCCTCCCTAACGTGTCCTTCCAGTGTTTTCCAAATTAGCATGGAGCCTCTCTCAAGGACCTGAGCCCAGTCTATGTTTGAATGTAAGCACAATTATTTCTCACTGGTTTAACTTCACCTCCAGCAGAAGCTGAGGCTACTTCTCTCCCAGACAAGTCCCGGAGCTTGCTTCATTTCTGACTGCTGTTCAGTCCTCTTAGCACCAATCTTTATGCAGTTAAACCAAAAGAAAAGACAGGNACGGAGCAGCGTCTGGATTATAGTGGCAGCACCGATTCGTCTATCAATCCCCCTCACTGATGAACAGGACATCAGGATACTTGAACCCCTCAACTTTAGGCAGGAATTCTCTTAAAACTGAAGTGGCCAAGCCACCGTCTTCTGGTCCAGACCCTCACCCTGGACTTGGAGGATCTGATTCTCCCTTTCATTGTTCAACATAAAACCAGGCTGAATATTTAACTTGTTTGCCCCCAATGTATGCTATAGATGTCCAAAGAAGGGAACAAGCAGAACAACATCATCAGCCCTTGGCTGGACCTAGAAATCCTGTTCATAAAGATTTCTAAAAGGAGTGCTGAGAGAGAGCAGCCCTGCTGAAGACCAATATGCACTGGGAACAGGTCAGACTTAAGGCTGAACTGCGGAATAAAATACTGGTCTGGTGTTACAGAAATTATGTGGCCCCTGGTAAAGGGCCCCCAGTTCTATATTCCTGGGGCACCTCCACAGGGCACCACAAAGGATGTTGCTGAACCCCTTCTCTGGGTCCATAATACACATGTGGATTTTTTGGACAAACTCCCATGAAACCTTGAGCACCCGGCAGAGTTTAGAGCCAGTCCAGTGTTACCTGCTGACACAATAGAAGGAGATCAGTTTGAAAATGTCATCAAACACCAGCGAGGATCCCTCCAGGTGGACAACTGTGAACAAGTTGACGTAGAAGTTAGTTTAGATCAGGCATTACAGTGTCTTTCGTGAACTGTTATAACGGGACACATACAGGTTTGGTGCTGATTGACTGCCACGCTGCGTACAATCGGTGCTCCAAGTTCATCTGGCAGTCGGAAGGAAATCTTGGTTACCTTTTCATCTGCGCTGTGAGCCAAGAATGTCTGCGAAAACAGCAGAATGTCATGATCCAGATGGATGTCCAAAATAACTGGTTTGGAATGTTAATTCATGATGTAGATACGGAGTCAATCTAGTGGCAGTCTTACTCCTGCTGGCTGCTTCTCTAGTAAACATAAGATCTTGTCTTGGCTCAATCCGCTGGGCCGCCACACTGAAACGCTTCCAACAAGCTTATCTATGGAGCTGAGCGGTGGAGCAGCCGGGGAGGATGGTGGGATGACGGGAGCCAGTGGGAGAAGGGGTGAAGATGGAGTGGGAGACGATGGAGATAAAGATGGAGGTGAAAAGGAGGGAATAAGATCAGATGGTTGTGGTGTAGATTGGGAGAGGACAATAGGAGAAAGAGGAGGAGGAAGAAATGGGGGAGTAGGTGCAGGAGAAGGAAGAAGTGATGCAGGGGTTGGAGGGGGTAGAGGAGGACGGGTAGGTAGCTGGGAGGGCCTCAGCATTGGAGGAGGGGGTCTTGGCCGACATGGCCTGGCAGGTGGCTGGGGGGTTGGTGAAGAGATGAGAACCCCTGTCAAAGGGCCGGTGTGGCTGTAGAGGAGAATAAACACATGATCAAATTAGAAAATTTTTTAGATTCTTTGAGGTTTTTACAGCACTAGTGGCTCGTCAATAGGCTGACAGGAAAGGGGGAATGAGAGGAGAACCACCGGTCAGTACCTTGGTCGGGGGTTAACCACTGCGTCACCGCAGTATGCCCACAATAGACGCACAGTAGAATTAGAATCAGACATGCTTTGACAATCCCAATGGGAAATACAGTTTCAGTACAACCGTTCGTCACAATACATCACATACATTAGGGTTGGGGGTCTGAGGGCGGGGGGGGAGTGGGCAATGGATTAACTGAGGCCAAGCTGCTGAGTTCCCACCAGTTACCTGGCTGCCTATGTCCAGGCGGTTACCTAGTGCTGCCATTGTCTATGTGGAAAGATAGGAGCTACATTGGGGAAGAGAGGGGAAAGAAACATATTTCACACTTTATCCTTGACAGGATACAGTTTGAGATATCAAAAAACCTTGCACAAGAAAACCACATGTAAACACAAAACAGACATTTCAGCAGAGGCTAAGATCGGAGGCGGAGTCACATGGATTCAGTTGACTGACATTGAGACATTAGTTGTGTGTGTATGATGAGTGCATTCAATTTGTCCATGAACGCTGACCGCAGGCAATGACCTTGATAAGATGGAAGTTTATCAACAGTCACTGAGTGCATCCACAGATGTTTGCAGGTAGGGGAGGGGGCAGCAGACTTCTGTGCCCTTTCGCCATAACATCCAGGGGAGATTAGATATCGTGTATCCCACGAAGTATGTCGCAGCAAGACAGGATGGGTCCACTTTTCCGTGTCTTCCAGTTGAATAAATTTGATCAATTGCATTGAGAGACCAGCTGACCAGGTCAAAAAAGGACTGGCACTAGAGCAATTCCAGTTCCTAAAGGGGCCCATGTCCTGCAACTTTTAGAAGTGCCTTTGGTTACACACACCTGAATCAATTAGATGACTGAGAGGACTCTGGAGGAACACACTGCATACTGGGGAGATAAATCAGCCATTTGATTCAGGTGTGTTGGACCAAGGATGGATCTAAAAGTTGCAGGATACTGGCCCTCAGGAACTGGAATTGCCCACCCCTGCACAAGAGCCTTTTACTGGCAGGCCTGTCTTAGAGGAGTAAACCTGTTTAGCAACATGGTGAGAATGAAAAAAATCCAACTTTATTGTCATTCCTATGTAACAAGTACAAAGCAACGAAATTAACCCTCTGCATTTAACCCATCCCCTTGGGGAGCAGTGTGGGGTTAAGGGTGTTGCTCAGGGACCCAGAGAGGCAGTCCAGGGGAGTGGGGCTTGAACTCAGAACCTCTGGTACCCAAATCCAGCTGAGGTTATACCATCGGTCTGACACACTGTCCCGGATTCCCACTTCACCTGTTTACAAAAGGATTGTGAAAACATTTGACCAAAACAAATTCAATTAGATTTATAGTTTAGATTCTTTTGTTTTTCAAAGGGGCATTGGGCCCCTCTATTGCCCCTTTTATCTTAACCCCAACCCTTACGAGCTCTGGTCCAGTTGGTGGGAATGGTTTAGTTAGTTTGAGTTATTGTTAATAGATGGCTACCCTCACAGACAGAAGTCTGAACCTGCTAAATCAATCCAAAGAAGGTTGTTGGCAGCAAGTTGAAGCGCTGGATTCGTTTAGGAATGAGTAAATTCATGAAGCATGATCAAACAGAAGTATATGACTCAGAGAATTAGCATTAGGTAGCTAATGCTACCTAATGCTAATTCTCTGCTACATCATGTTTAGCTCCTTCATGCCAACACAATCCTGCCTAATACCAACATTATGCTAACACTACTTTATGTTAATACTACCAAATAGGCTACTATTGCCAATTTATGCCAATGATGCTTAATGATATGACAATTCAATGCCAATGCTCATTGTGCGTACACATCCTAATGCTATGACGATATAACAGTAATGCTACCTTGTGCTAATGCTACTTTATGTAAACGCTAGCTATTACTAATGCTGAATCATGCTGACCTAATCTACCTAATGCCAACTAATTAATAAAGAAAATTATTTGCATATTTTTTTTAGAAACCTTACATTCTGATGTGATTAATCTATCTCTGTTACAGGGATATGTACCAAAGGCTTTTAAGGTTGCTGGAATTAAACCTTTGCTTAAGAAACCGTCTCTTGACCCAGATGACTTGGTCAATTGTAGACCTATATCCAATCTTCCTTTCTTATCTAAAATTCTTGGGAAAGTAGTTGTCAAACAAGTGTGCGGTCACTTCTACCATACTGAACTTTTTGAAGAGTTTCAGTCTGACTTTAGAGCTCGTCATAGCACTGAAACAGCT